CACAATAATTCATTGAACTTTCAAAAGGAGAGAACAGAATGGAGACAATGAGAGGTGGGGGAGGTTAGCATGAAACTGGTAAAGGGCCACAAAAAATGACTACATTGTGTAATGTTGGATATAATAATTATCTGACTAGAGCATCACATATTGCACACAGGTATGGATATTCCATGCTGTACCCCATGGATATATACAATCAATTATGTTTCAATTAAAAGAAAGTTTATAGGGCTGGCCGGTTAGCTCAGTTGGTTAGTGCCCTGTGTTGTAACACCGAGGTCGACGAGTTCAGATCCCTGTACCAGTCAGTTGCCAAAAAGAAAAAAATATATATGAAATTATTCTATTACCTTTTAATTATATTTTTCCACGAATCTTTTGACGTACCCCCATACGAGGTACCTAAAGTAGTCAGGCTGACAGAGACAGAAAATAGAATAATGGTTACAGGGGTGGGTGGGGTGGGAAGTTACTGTTTAATCGGCACAGTTTCAGTTTGGGAAGATAAAAACGTCTGGAGATGGATGGTGGTAACGGTTGCACAGCAATGCAAATGTATTTAATGTCACTGATCTGGACAACAAAAAAATCGTTTATATGGTAAATTTTATATTATGCATATTTTACCACAATTTTAAATAGTCCAGTGTTATTATCATTATGAAAACTCTCAGCAAAGAAAACTAAAGAAGGGCTATATAGTAAATTAGCATTCCTGCTGCACCTATGTAAATAATCAAGCCAAATGTAATGAGTTCAGCCTTATTTTGTGGTCAAGAATAATCATTCTTTGAGATTAATATTTATTAAACATGGAAATAATTAATATTTATCAAACAGGGAAAATGTTCTTCAAAGGAAAATTATGTTTTATCTATAGTACACTTTTCTGGGTTGTTTGATTCTAATTCTGTGGGAGTTATTTTATAATTCTGTAAGCTTTAAGTAACTTATAACAATGCAAATAATTTCTGTCCATAAACATGTGAATGAATTTTGTCTGGTGGGAGGGAAGGGACAGCCCTCCCTTCTTGTAAAAAAGCCGCTGAGAAAGAGGCTAAGTACTTTCAGTTAAAAAGTAATGAAGATTTAAAATTTCATGCAACTATATGTGTCAATATTTACTTATTAAATATTAAACCTGAAAAAATTTAATATATTTATTTTAATTCATTTAAAATTTACAAAAAATATCCATTATATCATGTAAATCGAAGTTATAAAATCATATGAAAACTGTATTTTCTAAAAAAGTCATGAGGAAATGAGAATTTTAAAATATATATTTGAAAAAGCTCTTTAATATCTGTCCTAATAGAAACCTTTTAGATTTTTCTCTGTTCCTGCACTTAATTTGTTGAAATGTGATACATAATGCATCTTTAGAAAATTTCACCACATATTTCTAAGAGAATGAGAGTGGGAAAAGTAAATAGCATTATTCTACAGACCCCGTGAAAAGCTGACCTAGAAAACTATCTAAAAGAACTAAGTCTTTAGTAAAATGGTATAATGCAACATTCTTGAGCGAAACCCACTATTTATTTTTTAAACAAGTTAGACCATTGATGTATTAAACTAAAATTGATATTTAGGTACTTGTAAAAAAAAAATTTTTTTAAATAGCAGGACGCTACACCTCACAAACCAGAGCAGAAACAACCTTACTTACCGGCATAGGGTTCTTTGCACACCATCTGGGGCGGCTCTGAAAAGAGCCTTTGGGGGGCCGTGCCCGGGGGCAGGAGGCGGTTCATGTGCTCATGGTGAACCTGAGCACAGCCCTGGTGCCCTCCGCCACGGCTTGCTTGCGGAGCTCCCCGGTCAGCAGCAGGTGCACGGCGGCCTGGATGTCCTGTGAGGTGAGGGTGCAGCGCTGGTTGTAACGGGCCAGGCAGCCGGCCTCCTCGGCGAGGCGCTCGAAGAGGTCGCTAACAGAAGAATTCGCGATTCACATGGTATTTAATTAAACGAAATGCAGGGTGAACCTGCTTCAGAACCTGTAGACACAGGAGTCATTGTCTCGGTGGCATCGGTGGCATCTCTTTTCACATCTTGCCCTTCTCTGTTTTGGAAATGGCTTTCTTAAAGCCCTTCTGGGTAGAGACATTTAGAAGAATGCTCAGCCACAATAGACATAGTTTTCCAGTACCTTGGAATGAAAGAGAGTGGTGATTGGTTACAGGGTGGTGCCCACTTATAGGCCCTGTATTCAAATAAGGTCTTGTGTACACACACTCTCTAATTCGACAAACATGTAACACGGGGGAACGCTGTCAAACCACACAAAGGTAAATGTGAGTGGATAGTTCTCCTGCCTTGCGTGATCCAATTAGAAGGCATGGAATATTCAGGCTGACTGAAAACTTCCTGTAGACTCCACCAAGAGCACTTTGAGGAAGCATCTACAGCAGCTAAATTGTAGAAATTTCAGCATCAGTTCCTTGTGAGACTCTGACCTCTGTAACCCAGGTCCGTGACACCAGAGGAGTGATGCTGGCCACATTTGTGCCATTTGTTCACCAACCCAGAATCTACCGTTATCCTGGCCTAAGCCACCCTGACTTGAGCAGGAACTCTCAGACTTGGGGGAGGAGTTGCTGGAAAACAAGAGACCTGGCTGACCAGCCGCTGCCTCCAATTCTGATCAAAAACCTCAGTGAACTGGAAAAAGGAAAGATGGCAAAGCCACAGTCTCCAAACAGAGAGCACAAACAAAAATAGGAATATTTATTAAAATGTGAAATATTCTTAAACATTAAACAAGTTAAAAATTGTTTTCTTGACAATACTTAGGTCCTAGAAAAATGCCCTAAACTGTATAATTTTTGAATAAATATAGAGTTCTTGGCTGAAAAAAATGACTAAACTACACGTCTAAATAACTTCCTTAGAGAGAAAAAGGGAATAATAAAAAATATTATTCAATGTAAAAGATATCTCTTACAAATATCTATGATAATACAACTGAAAATATTGATAAAGTGTATATATTTGTGAAATATGAATTACAGAAATTAAACCTATCCCCCTCTGAAAAAAGGGACTTAAGGACTAAGAAGAATGAAAGAAACTGAGGCCATCAGTGAATTACCATCACAAATGGCCAGGCTTCCAAAAGCATTTTATGTCACACCCTCAAAGAACAGGTGTTTTTTTTTTTCTGTTAATGAAATGGTGTCAGAGTATGAAGAAGAAAAAGATCTCAGTTTTATTTAAAGGAAATATAATGTGAAGGAAGCATGCTAAAAAGAGTTCTGAGCGTCAGATTTGAGAATGGGGATATAACAATCCTACATAAAATATTGACTGACACTGTAACTAATTAAAATTAATTAACTAGTTAATATTTAAATTAACATTTAATTTAAAATATTAAATTGGCATCACAGCTAAAGATGAAGTAAAAAGGATAAATCAGGATCCATCCAAGAGTACAAAGATGTTTCAGTAAAATACACATATGATTCACGTTATGATGTTGTAGTGGATTGAATTATGTCCACCCAAAACTCACTTAAGCTTGGATTGTGTTCACCAAGTTTTATGTATAATAAACTTAGCTTCCACTGTGACTGTTAAGAGAGTGGGAAATCCTATTATGGTAATTGAAAAGTGGAGCCTTGAAGAGGTGATCTGATTGTAGGACCCTGCCTTAGCGAATGGATTAAAAATGGTGGTCAAGGGCGTGGTTCTGAGGGCTTTAAAAGAAGAGGAGAGTCCATCTTTCTCTCTGCGCTCTCTGCTTCCACCATCTTCCAATTTAAGATCCCTGGGTCATTGTTGCCACCATCAAATTGACTTTGGACTTCCCAGCCTCAGAAACTGTAAGCAATAAATTTCATTTCTTTATAAATCACTCAGTTTTAATTATTTTATATAAACAACAGAAATGGACTAATACAGATGTTAAAGGAAAAAAAGATAATCTTCAGTTATTCTCAGTACATGCTTTAAATTCCTTTGCTAATATAAGCTGGATAATGTTTGTTTCATGGTTAAATACCATCATGACTATCATTAGAGTCAGGACTCAGAGAAATTGAGCCTTCCCATCAGGACTACTATTTATCATTATCTAGTATATTTAAAAAATCTTATAAAAGGACTTGAAAAAGGATTTTACTGCAAAGAAGACCTAGAAGAACTAAAATCATCAGCAAGTAAATCCTCCAAGGGGATACCACATAATTGACTCACATGTTTGAAATAAAATTTTGGAAAACCTAACTCTCTTTTCAGAGCCAGATGTGTGTTCAGAGAAAGAGCTGTGGACGTGTTCAGAAAAAAACAGTATTTCATTAAGTCACTTAATTTATATCATGTTAATTATTGGTGCTTCAAAATGCCAATGTCTATCAGTATGCCATACAGGTATTTTACCAATGTTATTCTATCACTGGCTTCATACATGTTATATCATGTAAGAAGGAATTTTAACACATCAAATTCATTAGGACAGTTATAGTGTTTTGGCCATTTTGCTGTTGTAAATTCAGAAAGTAAATAGAAGCATTAGTGAAAACATCTAAAAAGCACTAAAATTTGGCTGAGAATGCAGGGCCGATTGAGTGATGTTTAAAGACCAGAAGGGGCAATGAGTACATCTGACTATTAACCTGGTGGGCAAATAAGGAACAAGGAGACTAAGTAAGCAATTATGCCCTAATTCTGTTTTACGAAAAAGACTAAGGGAAATAGCTGTTAATGCTGTAAGTAAATAATATTATATATTATGTATTATATTATAATGTTAAGGGAAATAGCAGTTAGTGCTGGAAGTAAATATAAGCCAAAATAACATATCAAAGCAGTGTTAATAGAATAAAAAATCACAAAAAAAATTTAATTCATTTTAATACATAATAAAAACAAAAAACACAGAAATATATTAAATCAAAGGTTTCGAGAACATCCATACCAAGCTCTCCAGACTCTGGAATTGCTATTTTATTACATTTCAGACTTATTCGATTCTATTCTTTTCCAGTCTATAATCTCACTTTTTAAAAAAACACAAACCTTAATGACCTGCAATTATGCATCACATAGATGATGGGAGCGTACAATGAGAGCAGCTCCATGCCCCAGCCTCCAATGACTCAGCCAGTGAAGGATCGCAGCCTTTAAGCCACCACCAAAGTGTGGGGAGGTGACCCAGCTGAACCAATAAGAGCCTTTCTAGTATGTTTGGCCTTGGAGATCGAAGAGGAAATTGATGTGGTTCTTCGCCTGTCATTTGTTTGTTTGCTTGATCGTTTAATCCTTTGCTTCTAATCCTAGTGATTTAAGGATATGAATCCAGGGCTAGTAGTAGTGGACATATCTCCTGCTTCACACATCACATTAAGGAAATGTGGTGTCTTACTCCATTTGTGCTGCATAACAAAATACCTAAGACTGGGTGACTTATAAACAGAAATTTAGTTCTCATAGTTATGGAAGCTGAAAGTCCAAGATCAAGGCGTCAGCAGGTTCCGTGTCTGGCGAGGGCCTGGTTTCTGCTTCCAAGATGGCACCGTGTTGCTGAGTACTCATATGGCAGATGACGGAAGGATAAAAAAGGATTAGTTCTCTCCAGCACTTTTATAAAACCATAATCCTATTCAGTGAAGGCAGAGCCCTTATGGCCTAATCATCTCCTAGGGGTTCCACCTCTTAATAATGTTGCATTGAGGATTAAGTCTCAACATGAATTTTGGAGGGGACAAAAATATTCAAGCCATAACATGATGTAAGAAAAATAAGGTGACTCTCCCCCGCAACACACACAATCTATTTGAATGTTGAGTTATTTACCTCCAAGCACATAGGCCTGAAAATATAACCTAACACATTAACTTGGGATATTTCCACTTTCTAACTATTATGAATAAAGTTGCCAGGAACATGTGCATTCACATTTTTGTGTGTACATATCTTTTTCATTTCCCTTGGGTATATACCTAGGAGTGGAATTATTGAATCATATGGTAACTCCATGTTTAACATTTTAAGGAACTGCCAAACTGTTTTCCACAGTGATGCACCATTTGACATTCTCATCTGCAGTATGTGATGGTTCCAATTTCTTTACATCTTTGACAATACATATTATTATCTCCCTTTTTGATTATATCCACCCTAGTGTGTATGAAGTAATATCTCATCGTGGTTTTGATTTCCATTTTCCTGATGGCTAATGATGTTGAACACCATTTTATATGTTTATTGGCCATTTGTACATTTTCTTTGGAGAAATATCCATTCAGATCCCTTTCCATTTTAAAATTGAGTAGTCTTTTGATTATATAGTTGTAAGAGTTCTTTATACACTATAAAGTCCCTTATCAGACATATTACTTGCAAAAATTTTCTCCCATTCTGTTAGTTATCTTCTCACTTTCTTGATGGTGTCCTTTGAATCACAAAAGTTTTATATTTTGATGAAGTCCTATTTACCTATATTTATTTTGTTGCTTGAGCTTCTGGTGTCATATCTTAGAAACTATTGCCTGAATGACGGATTATATCTATGTTTTCTTCTAAGAGTTTAATAGTTTTAGCTCTTACATTTAGAACTTTAATACATTTTAAGTTTCATATATGGTATTAGGTAAGGGTCTGTATTCATTTTTGTATGTAGATATCCATTTGTCTCAGAACCATTTGTTGAAAAGACTATTTTTTCACTAGTGAATTTTCTTGGCACTGTGGTAGAAAATCAATTGACTATAAATGTGAGAGTTTATTTCTGGACTGTCATTGATCTATATGTCCTTATGCCAGTACCACACTGTCTTGATTCCTGTAGTTTTATAGTAAGTTTTGAATTCTGAAAGTGTGAGGCCTCCAACTTTGTCCTTTTTTAAAATAATGTTTTCTATTCTGGGTTCTTTGAAATTTCATATGAATTTTGGGATCAGCTTGTCAATTTCTGCAAAAGAATCCAGCTGAGATATTGATAGAGATTACGTTGAATCTGTAGATCAATTTGAGAAATATTACACATTTTAACAATATTAAGTATACTGATCTATGAACACAGAATGTCTTTCCATTTATTCAGGTATTCTTTTTCTTTCAATGATATTCTGTAGTTTTTGGTGTATAAGTCTAGGACTTTTTATTAAATTAATTTCTCAGTGCTTTATTTTTTGATGCTATATTATTTTTCATTCATGTATTTATTCCACAGTCAAAATAAATCATAATTCAAAGCCATAACATTTTTTAAATATAAAGGAGAATTTGTGGCACAGCTACATTAACAAAACAGGCACCAGTCTAAAGTGAAACACTAAACAGGTGTTCTCTTTTCGCATAACAGAATAAATACACAACAATTATACATAAAATTTCTTTAAAGTTTGATGCTATTTTAAATGAAATTGTTTTCTTACTTTCCTCTTTGAATTGTTTATTGCTATCATAAAGAAATATAGTTGATTTTTGTTTATCTGTCTTGTATTCTGCCACATAGCTGAATTCACTTATTATTTCTTACAGTTCTTGAGTGGATATTTTGGGATTTTCTACATACAAGATCATGTCATCTGCAAATACAGTTTTACTTTTTTCCTTCCAGTTTGTATGCCTTTTATTTCATTTCTCTTGCCTACTCTGAAAAGATTTGAATGTCAGGAAAAAAAGCTCTTCATTTTCCCTCAAATATTTAATTATACAAATGTAATTTCTTTAATAACCTATTTTTTACTACTGATCAGAAATGTTTCCTTATCAAGGGGCCAGCCCGTGGCTCACTCGGTAGAGTGCGGTGCTGATAACACCAAGGCTATGGGTTCAGATCCTATATAGGGATGGCCGGTTTGTTCACTGGCTGAGCGTGGTGCTGACACCACCAAGCCAAGGGTTAAGATCCCCTTACCGGTCATCTTTAAGAAAAAAAAAAAGGAAATGTTTCCTTATCAAACGCTAAAACCTCATATACTTGGGTGTGTTAATGGGCTGTCTTGTTTTATTCCTCTTACTCTGCTTATTCCAGTACTACACTGAGTTAAGACCGTATATTTAGGGCCGGCCTGTGACTCACTCGGGAGAGTGCGGTGCTGATAACACCAAGGCCCCGGGTTCGGATCCCATTATAGGGATGGCCGGTTTGCTCACTCGGTGAGCGTGGTGCTGACAACACCAAATCAAGGGTTAAGATCCCCTTACCGGTCATCTTTTAAAAGAAAAAAAAAAGACTGTATATTTACAAGTCATTCTGCTTCCTTGAAGTGTGAGTTTCTCCATCAGGGATAAATGAAATAGCACACCAGATAAGGTAAGGGAGCTAGTACGGTGCCTAGCACATAAGTGGCATTCTCTAGAGGGCACCACCACACACCATGGCTGTCCTTTGTGTCCCACCACCCATAGTAGTGCCACCATCCATTGGAATGATGGGTAGTTAGTAATTATTTTTACTGTATATTAAGTGCCCAAAATATAAGGATTAATTATTTATCTAAACCAAACACCAAAAGATAACCGGGGTAAACCGATGTACTAAGAAGATTATGTAACTAAATCTGTTTGATGGAACTTGTGATGTTCTGTTTTTTCCTGCTATAAGCTAAGTCAACAGGATCACTACTGTAGCCCCAGTAGCAGCAAGGAAATAAATGCTCAATAGATAATTGCTATGAGAATTTTTAAAACATAAAATATTTTTTAAACATAAGATTAGATTTTGGCACGCAGTAATTATTTCTGTGGGTAAATATTAGAAGTGGAATCACTGGACCAAAATATCAAACATTTATACTTTTAAACAATTTACACAGTTGGCCTTCAGAAAATTTTTAGCAATACAATCAACAAGAGCAGGAGAGAGTGCACGTATCCCCAATCCTTCAACAAATCTATTACAAGTTTTCATGTAATCAAATCTATTAACGTTTTCCTTAATCGTTCATCATTTTGTTGTTACGTATTTGAAGGCCTTCCACATCAAAAGCTTATATGGAGATAAACGGAGACTATCCATATGAGAACAAACAGAGGCTACTTATTCACAGCTTGTAGCAAGGGAGTCAGCCACCACCACCTGTGTTTGGCAGAGATTCTAAAGCAAGCAGGGAAGTGGGAAAGCTTACAGTTAAAACAAACAAACAAAAAAAACGGAAGACTTCAGGTACGCTCTGATTGGAGGTTGTTGGCATGGGGAAGCTGGAGGCAGGCCAACTAGAAGCGGGGCATTTTATGTGATTAGTTAGGGGTACATATTTGGCTTTTTCTTGTTGGTCACCTGGCAAAAAATGATAAGGCTGGTAAGTTGATCAAGTCCTGAAGATTGCTAAAGAGGCTGTTTGGCTTCCTGGGCTGCTTGCTGCAAATGTTGTGCGTCACAGTTCTATTGTCATATGTTGTCTGGTCATTGTCCGTTGCATATTCATGTTTTCACTTAAGATAAATTAATCGTTCTTTCATTCTGCTTCAAATATAATTTTTTTTATTATTCATTAGAAAATGTATGTTTACGTGCATGTCAGGAAAAAGGAACAATTTCATTTTGGGGGAAATATTTTCCTAAATTTTTTCTAAAGTGCAATATTCTACTCTTCGAACAATACCTAAGTTCATATTTATACAATGTCATTGGGTGTGTCTACAGGCTTTCAAGGGAATTTAAAAGCAGCATTAGCAAGACTCCTCCCCCAAACCGCCCAACCCACATACACAGACAAAGCTTTTGTAATTTTCATCAAAATTCTCTCTTTGACCAACTTCTCAACAAGAGGAAAAGGACAGAAGGGCCCAGAGAGATGAGGCGACACCTGCTTAAGGAGAGGTGGTAGGTGGCTGGCAAGCGCAGGCTAGTAGGCGGGACGTGGGGGCGACCGAAGTCGGTGCTGCGGCGTTCACGTGACCCGCCGGCGCAGACGTGGGCACCAGGCCGGGTGCCCGCCCTCTGTGCCTGCGGTCCTGAGCCGTCCGCTCCAGTCCCTGGGCTCCTAATTGTTGTTCCAGCTTCTTTCAGGTCAGTGTAAGGGCCTTCCACGCTGCCAGCGGAACACTGGAAAGGGGAGGAGGAGCGGGTACGGTAAGGGGAAAGGATAGGGGTTGGCGTTCGGGTCGAGGGAAGCTGGCCTAATTGTAGAAGGAGATGGCGGTGGGGAAACGATTAAGGGTGGCTGAGGGGGAGCAAGCAACCAGTGGGCAGAGTGGGGGAAGTCAGACACCCTAAATATCCATGCCAACTTTCTGGGCACCTCCTTTTCTCTGCCCTCCGTCCATTTTGGAGCCGGAGATGGTGAGCTGGGGGACGCCCCAGCAGTGAGACAGTGGAAATAAACCCCCTCTAACATTCCGTGCGTACAGAAAAATGTTGACCGCGAGGGTGGGGAGGCAAATTGCCTTCAGGGCAGAAGGACACAGAGACACAAACATAGTTTGGAAAGCATCGTGGTCTGGTGCCCAAGGCCTGAGAACAAATGGCGGCTGGGGTGCGGGGGAGGTAGGGGTGGAAACAGTCGGGTGAGGACGGTGAGGAGGGCCCGGATCAGGAAAGGGACCCGAGTCCGCGTGAGTCCATGAGCGCGCAGCCCCCGCCCCTGCCTCCCGTCTGTCTGCAGGTCTACGTGGCTGTTGTCCCAGCACACTCTGACGCCTGACAAGGAGGCGCAACCTGTCTAGAGTCTCTACAGGTCAGTGAAAGGGTGGGAGGCGTGGACCGGGACCCAGAGGGTTGAGAGTGTGGAGGCACGGCCTGGGCAGAATTGGGGGCCCCACTGCCCGTCCCCTCCCTCCCCCTACAATGCACGCACACCTTGCACGCTGCCGAAGGAGTGCAGAGGATGTGGCAGGGTTGGCTCACGTGTGCGGGAGGATTGGTGGGGTAAGTAAGGGGTGGGCAGGTAAGGGGACCCCTCAAAAGGGGCGAGGTGCAAGACCTGTCTGCACCTGCATTCCACCCCACACCTCCAGGCTCCCATGTGTCCTCTTTGTCTCCTCTTCCCTTCGCCCACCCCAGGCCAGGAAAAGCACGGGAAACCTCACCATGGAGAAACCCTACAATGAAAGTGAAGGAATGCCTTCAAACCAAGGAAAGATGGAAAATGAAGAACAGCCACAGGATGAGGAAAAGCCAGAAGTAGCTTATACTCGGGAAGATGAGGAAAAGTTAGAAAACGTGGGAAAGACAGAAGATGAGGGAATGCCAAAGGATAAGGAAAAGCCAGATAATGAGGAAAAGGCAAATGAAAAAGGAGAGCCAGAGAGGGAGGCAGAGTCCAAAGAGGAAGGCGAGCCAGAAAGTGAAAGAAGGGCCGCAGAAAAGCGCCCACCTGAGGATGATATACCTAGGAAAGCCAAAAGAAAAACCGACAAGGGGCTGGCCCAGTACCTCAAGCAGTATAAAGAGGCCATACATGATATGAATTTCAGCAATGATGATATGATAAGAGAATTTGACAATATGGCTAAGGTGGAGGATGACAAGAGAAAAAGCAAACAGAAGTTGGGGGCATTTTTGTGGATGCAAAGAAATTTACAAGACCCCTTCTACCCGAGGGGCCCAAGAGAATTCAGGGGTGGCTGCAGGGCCCCACGAAGGGACACTGAAGACATTCCTTATGTATAGTGCCCCTGGCCGGCTTTAACCTTGCTTTACCTTATGTTAATACTTCGATTTAGGCATCTCTCCTGTTACCAGCAGCCTTTTGACCCAACTGCAACAGTATCAGATGTTTCAGTATCAGATTTCATCCATTGCTTGGAAAAAATATCTATGGTGCATTGTAAAATTAAAAAAAAAAAAAAAAACACTACTTGCAGAACCAAATATTTGGCATTAGTCCATTTTTGTAAAACAACAAAGATATTTACCTAGTAATCTATGTATAGCAAACAACTCTGAAAGTTGTGTCCACTAAAAGATTAACAGTGATAGTCTGCGGGTGATTTTTTTTTTCTGTTCTTTTTTGTTTCTCCATTTTCTCCTAAAAACACATTACTTTTGTCATAAAAAAAAAAAGAAGATAAAATATAGGGTAAGTACATAGGAATCAAAAGAACTGTCCAGTGAGCTTAGAAAGGCAATGGAGACACTTAAAATTCTTGTTGTCAGGATATAAATGTTAGATAAAAGTTACATTACCTGTGGTATTTGAAGCTGGAGGAATCAACCTGACAGCTACTAGAGACCCACTGCTGTAAGGGATAGCCTTTTTATTTGTGAAATGGGGATAAAACTTGCCTTCTAGGGCTGTGGAGAAGATCAAATGAGGTATTGAGTGTGTAAGCTGTGTTGGGCTGGCTCCTACCCTCTTCCATGCACTATCAGAACCAGTACCCAGCCAGATACTTGGAGGAAGGCTGAGGGAGGTCTCACCTGTGTCCAGGAACAAATCCAGACAGCTGAGACATGGGTGCCACTTCCCCCTTGGTAATGCCATGTCTGCTGGGCACTGTGCATCTTCTCATGGATCCTGCATCCTCCTAAGGCCCCTGCTGCTGTGGGAGGACTGGAGACTGTGATGAACTAAAGCAACACTGTGTCCCAACAGAAGGGTACAGAATTTCTTTTTACCTACAATAGAGTTACCATAACACGGGTGGGTAGTGCACAATTGTCACGTGGGCCTTGATATTTTATAAAGGTTTTACAAAACACTTCTTTCCGTGTTATTTGTTGGTTTGTGTATGTTTTTGCACATAGCTGTCTCCACTGGATTTAGATGCTTGAGGTTGGGCCAGGAGAAGAATCTGAGTGACCAGATTCTGTGCTATTTTCACCTGTTAATCTCTTGTCGGCTGACACATTTTTCTTAGGAATTTTCTCCCAAGAAATTGTGAAGTCCTGCCTTACCGTTTCAACAGACCCATCTATCTATGTGATTTTTTTCCTCCAAGCTCTTCAATAGCCTTTTATTTTCTTACACTGATTTTTAAATGAACTTTTATTTTAGGACAGTTGTAGATTTACAGAATTACTGCAATGATAGTACAGTTTCCATATACCCCATAACACAATATCCCCTGTTACTAACATATTAGTATGGTACATTTGTCACAATAAACCGATATTGATACAATATTATTAACTAAAGTATATACTTCATTCAGATTTCTCCTAATGTCATCTTTCTGTTCCAAGATCCCATCCAGGTTAGCACAGTACATTTAGTTGTCATGTCTCCATAGGCTCCTCTTGGCTGTGAGAGTTTCTCAGACTTTCTTTGTTTATGATGACATTGACAACTTTTGAGAAGTACTGGTCAGGTATTGTGTATAATGTCCCACAATTTGAGTTTGCTTGATTTTTTTTCCTTGTGGTTACACAGGTATTTTGTGTTTTGGGGAAGAAGACCACAGAAATAGAATGCCAATATCATCACATCATATAAAGGGTGCATACTGTCGATACTACTTCCCACTGGTGATGTTAACCTTGGTCACCTGGCTTAGGTAGTGTTTGTCAGATTTCTCCCTGGTAAAGTTACTCTTTTATTTCTCCATTTCCATACTGTACTCTTTGGAATAAAGTCACTATTGGCAGCTCACAGTTAAGTAGTGGGCCATTACCACCTCCTTGATGGCAGAGTATCTATAAAAATTATTTGAAATTCTGCACAAGATATTTGAATTCCCGATTTATTTATATATTTGATTTATTTATATCAGTATAGACTTATGGATATTTATTTTTTCTTTGGATTATATAGCAATACTACTTTACATATTTTGTTGCTCATATTGTTCCAACTTTTGACATTGGGAGCTCTTTCAGTGGGCTCCTGTACACATTTGATATACCCCCATTGTGTTGTGCGGTTTATTTTAGTACTTTCTTACTTTCTGGCACCACAAGATGCTCTAGCTTATCCTGCATATTTCCTGGTCAAGTATTAGAATCAGCCATTTCTCCAAGGAGACCTGGTTTCCTTTCTTGGAGACTGCTGTTAAAAAACCAAGAGCTGGTGCTAGGTATAATCGTTGCTATTGGGATAGCATTGCTACTAGGCCCTCTCTGTTGACAGAGCAAGGAGTTACAAGGGTACTTCAAAAAGTTAATGGAAAAATAAAATTAAAAGATAATGCAAGTCTTTCCATGAACTTTCTAGAGTACCCTCGTGTGTGTGTGCGTAAAAAATATAGAAATGAAAATATTTGTATATGTAACCATCTGTATCTATATAAAGCTAAACATGAGTTTATACTGATATGTCCAACTGCAATCTATTATCACATGGATCATCCTAATCTCCCCTTGCTTATCTATAACCTTCAATTCCAACTGTGAGAAACCTGTCTCCCACTGTTTGCCATCCGTTGTGCTAATAGTTCAATTCCAGTATACACATAAAGTTATTTCAAAATTGTTAACCTGTACTCCAGTGGGAAACAACTTTATCCACTAGAGTGCTATGTACACTTCCTTTGCCCTACAGACTCCACTCATTTCCAAAGTTACCTGTGTCAGCACCTTATTCCCCCCTCTCTTTCACTGAGGTTGTTTCATACATTTGTAATGCATTTAGATTCTTTTGTCACATTTGCATTTTGAGAGTGCTGTTGTCGATGGTATTTTTAAATTTCAAATTCCAATTGTTCATTGCTGATATATAGGAAAGCAACTGGCTTTAGGATATTAATCTTCTATCCTGGGACTTTGCAACCAGGAGTTTGTCAGGTTTTTGGCATGTTATACATAGACAGTCATGCCATCTGTAAATAGAGGCAGTTTAATTTGCTTCTTTCCAAGGTAGGACTTCCAGTATTATGTTTAATAGGAACAATGAGAAAGGACATTTTTGCTTTGTTTTTGACCTTAAGGTGAAAAATATCCACTTTCTCACCATTAAGTATTATGTTAGCTGTAGATTTGGGGACATATTCTTTAGCAATTTGAGGAACTTCCCTTCTACTCCTAGTTTTAAGAGTGCTTTTATCAATATGAGTGAGTATTGGATTCTGTCAAATGCTTTTTCTGCATAAAGTGATCAGGTCATATGATATTTCTTCTTTGAGTCTGTTAATGTGGTGGATTATACTGATTAATTTTCAAATGTTGAACCAGCGTTGCATAATTTTTTTATACTTTGTTGGATTTGATTTGCTAATATTTTATTGAGGAATTTTATATCTCTGTTATGAGAAATATTGGTTTGTAGTTTTCTTTTAATGTCTTCATCTGCTTTCAGAATTAAGATAATGCTAGCTTCACAGAATGGGTCTGGAAGGGTTCTATACTTCTTTCTTATGGAGGAGATTGTGGAGAGTTATTATTTCCTCCT